GTAAGATAATAAAAATATTTTAAACAATATTAACTTCAAAAGTGTAACTTGAATTAATATCAAAGAAAAACTTAAATATCAAAGAAAAAATATACTGCATAAATAAAATAAATAAATAATTATAATTGCATAAGTTGATAAAAAATGCTATGCAACAGCTTTACCGCGACAGTCCCCGAGTGCCACGCGTTTTTTTTTTTTTTTAACTGTAACTCTGGAAATTCTTTTGCTAGTGGGTTCTGACATAAATTATTTCCCCCTCCCATGCTTGCCATGGTAACGACTACACAAAAACCCAAATCCCGTGGTAAAGAAATGCGTAGTTACCAAGTTATATGATTTAATTTAACTTTAGTTTAGCTGAAATCAGTTATGGGGAAACTGTTTTCATAGGCAGGCTTGTCATGGTAACGACTAAATAAAAAACTTAAATCATGTGGTGATAAAACGCGTAGTTGTCAAATTATAGATAATATAATTACAGTTCATCAAATTTCTAGAGGTGTTCGACGCCCAGACAGAGAACGCGCTACGTGTGACTAAGATAGCTATTGTACAGTCTGCTAAACAAGTTATTTTAAATAGTTTTTAATATTTTTAGGTAATTAAATTTTAAAAGTGTGGAATAGTTTAGGGATTAAATTGGTCTGATTGGACTTTCTTAGAACGTTTTTAAAAGCAGCTAAAGATAGTATGTAGAATTGAAAATAATTATTATGCCATAAAAGGTGTTTTGGAATTCCTTCAACCTTTTGAAATTGAGTCAGAAAATATAAATTTTATAGGATAGCGGAAAATACCTATAATTTTTTTGTAGGCCTTTGTAAATCGTGGAAATAGTTTATATTTTATTTCTACCTTATTAAGGAAAATGGTACCTATTATTAATAACGGTTGTTTCTGAAACATTACTAAAATTTTCGAAATTTTGTTTTTCTACAAAATAATAAACTATACTATTTAGAAAAAAATTTATTTCTCTTATAATTTTATAAAAAATAACAGGGGAATATTTACATTTCTTGATCTATTAAACAAAACGATAAATTATCTCGACGAATGACACCATGTTCTAGTACGGAAGCTAGCTTTACATTTTTGTTGGTGGTTTCATGGGTTTCATATCAATTTTTTGAAATTGTAATTTACACGTACATATACCTCTTAACACTTGTTTGCTTTATTAAAAAAGTGTGTTGTTGTGATTTACGTCGAAATAAGTCAAAGACAACTTGAAACCCCATATAAAATCAAAAAGGAGAAACGGAAAAAAATTGAGCCTGTAAATGAACACAACTCAGAAACAAAAATAGCTATCTAATAATAAAAAAATAAAATTTGATTCTTGTGCAGCTTCATCTATATCATTAACTGTTTTTGGTTTTTTAATGGTTTTTCTTGGTGATGAAAATTCCGATATCTCACGGTTATCGATTCTTTTTTTCTCTCCAGAAATGCGGACGACAGTGTTTTTAGATACTCCTGTGGCTGCAGCAACACGATCATTTACATTTTTAAATGGCATTGAAGGTGAATTAAAGTTTCCTTCTCTTCTCATAAACTCTATAACATTGGCTATTATTTCGCGAGATTGACTGTTAATCACGCGGCCTCTTAATTTGCTATTAAACTCCATAGGTTCTATTAAACTGTAATGAGCAAAAAACACAAACGAAAATAAAAGAAATGTTTTAGCGAAATTTACATCTGACATTTACGTCTGAATGAAATAGTGAAATACTTGATGCGCAGAGTGTACTTTCATTGCGTAAATCCGTCGGTATGCCTGTCAGTAGTGCTTTCTCTGTCTAGCCGTCGAAAGCCTCTAGAAATTTGATGAACTGTAAGCTGAAATCAGTTACGGAGTAACATAGGGATACTTATCATGGTAACGAGTAAACAGAAACCTAAATGGTGAGGAAATGTGTTGTTTCCAAGTTATAAACGATTTTATTTCACTATAGTTTAGCTGAAATCAATTACGGAGAAATTGTTGCCATAGGGACAGTTGTCATAGTAACGATTAAACAAAAATCCAAATTCGGTGGTAAGGAAATGTGTAGTTGCCAACTTACTTACGATAGGGCTACTTGACATGGTAACAACTAAACAAAAACTTAAATCTCAAAAGGAAAAAATGCATAGTTGTCAAGTATTGGATAATAAAATATAACTTTAGTTTAGCTAAAAGGCATTTTGATGCAAGTCACCCATGGTACAAAAAATTTCATAGGCATAAAATCTCGTCAAGTTCGCTTATGACGTATTGTGGAAAAAAATAAAAAATGGGTATAAGCTAATTAAAATTTATTTTCTCGCGCTGTTTTCGATCAGCTGATACGTTAAATTTGTAAAAGCCACATCTTCCACCACATTACGTCACCGTGACGTGTAGTATCAATCTGAGTATTATCATACTTTCTTTTTATAGTATCATGCAAGCCACCTACTAGCTTGCATGAGAAATGCCTTCTACCTATAACTTTCATTTTATATTGTACTAAGTAATTAAAACGGTTATAATGTTTGGAATTTTTCGATGTTAATGCTTTTAGAAAGAAACTTTTTGGGGCACACTGTAAATTCCAAAATATTTTTGAATTATAGCTCCAATAGCTATTCATATTTCTGTATAAAAGTAATTTTTTAAAATCATAATCATAGTCTGGACCGACATGTATAAGATGCCCCACCCTGTATGTGTCACAAATGGCTTTATATTAGTTCTAATGTAATTAGGGGAAAATAATATTTATGATTGTATTATTATGTTTGTCCATTACCTTGATCTCGGACCATTGGATCCGGTCCTTCCGAGGGCATACGTGGAGCCGTGTAACCAACACGTAACGGCCCTTTGGTAAGGGATACACGTGACGGAATTATTGATTTTTTTCTTACTAAAAAGTAACAATTACTATTAGTTGCCTGTAATAAGCACTACAATAATAGAATATAAGCACGGTCCTATCGTGCAATAAATTAATTTTAGGATGATATAACTCTGAAAGTAACAAATAATTGAGATGAGTTGCAATGAAAAGAAATGTTCTCCTTAAAAAGATCGTTCATGGTATAACTTATCCTTATTTGGGGGAGGGCAATTTCCCATACATTTCTGCCAATTGTCCCTTGATAAAAAATTATTTTGATAAAAGAAATTATAAACGGAAAACCCAAATACTAAGCTACTATAATCCATGTAATTATCATAATACCGATTGCAAGAACCTTCAAATAAAATGTATGAGTCTGATCGTCATATCGTAGGTCCGATAAACTTTGACAGGGATTATCTGAATGACGTGTCCTTCAAATTATTCAGTCTAAACATCTGACAAAATGTATCATGTCCATACATTTTAATAGACGTTCTTGCAACCGGCTGTAAGCGATCAAATCAATGGCCTTGTGGTACTCCTGATGTAACTAGAAATAATATGTGTTCGATAGGTTGCATAAACTCCGTGAATGTTTAAATTTACTAGTACATGTGTACTTTGACTAAATTTTTTGATAGTATCGAAATTCAATTTATTTCACACTTGTAACCTGACTTAATCAATGTATGATTAAAATTAACTCTGGCAATGTTGAATATTGCGTTTATATTGTCGCCTTCTCAAGCATGGGATTGAGTCTCACTACAATTTACTTCGTATTTATTTTCATTCAAATAAATACATGAAGTAAATGCATTCACTAGTAATAGTATTCGTTTTCACATGTAGTTTATACATTAACAAGTGAAAACATTCACTCATTAGAGTTCACGCATTTACTGTATAAACTCTTTTTCTATTATGTGTCTCCATTTTAATTTTATTTTACGCTTTCCAATTGATTACGCATAGTTTAATCCTTCTGAAAAAGAAATTTCACTGAATAAAACCTCTATAACTGCTCAGTGATCATCAGTGAAATTTCGTAAGATAGAATAGTACATTCTCAAAAACTTAATGGATATAATTGAACAACACAACCTTAGTTACTTTTTGAGAATTTTCAGGAGGTGAAACAAACGTTTTGATCTAGGACCAGGACTAAGGTTGTTTCAGAAATAAACGATTCAATTAGAAGCGGCAAATAGAAAGAAAAAATCTTATCTTTCAATAGAACAATCTGCGTAACAAAAACCATGAATAAAAATTCAAGTTTACAGTATATTACTCAATTAGTACCACTACAACTTTTTTCTACACCCACATGTATATTAGCACAGATTACAAAACGAAAAAGTATGCTATTGCCTTCAACAGAACGAATATATTTCATATCCATCTAAGGTAGTGAGAACACTGCAAAAAATGAAATCCATCAGTCACAGTTCATATTTTGATCAACCGACTACTATTATTTGTAAAATTTTAAAGGTGTCAATTCTGTCCAACTAATTGTCAGTATATTTTTTAGTTATTGAGATTAAACATACATTAAAATGGGTTGTGTAGAATCGATAAATAATAGCATTTCTGTTTTTATCTCGTCTATAATTATAAATAATTTGTTAATTTAAATAAAACTATATGAAGTCAATTTAATTACGAGTAATTAAGCAACAAAAATAAAAGAATAGATTGTCCTGTGGTAGCGTTCTTGCCTTCCACACGGGAAGACTCCGATGGGGAAAAATGAAATGAACTTTTTTCATTTTTTTTTTTATTTTATTTTAAAAATTATTAAAAGTCATAAATTATTTTAAAATTAGTTATTTTGTCTTAATAACCTTAAATATTTTTTTTATTTGTAAATTTTCGTTAGTGGATCGTAGAAAAAATATATTGTACAACTCGAGTGGATTGTCCACATCGCACTCAGACGATTGAGCATTCCGCCTACGGCGTCGTGCTCAAATTTGGTCTTTGTGCGATATGGTCATCATATCCACTCTTGTTGCACAAACTACTATTATGTTGCAAGCGAAATCACACAAATTGATATATTTCTTTAATTCTATAATTATCTATTATCGAAATTTTAAAACAAACCTTTTGTTTCAGGTGTGAAATTCCAAGAAAACTTGTTGAAAACCATGATACAAATTGAAGATACGTTTTTCGAGCTGGGAAAAACGTGCAGCAGAAACTGTCTGATAATATGTGATAGGGGGGCAATGGATGCTTCAGCATGTAAGTATATGTAATATGTTAACCTATAGATCCTTAGAAATAAAGATGTGAGCTTAATTATATTTGCACTTTTGAGAAATAAAGAGAAACTCGTGAATCTGCTGACTGTCTGCCGTGATTGGACAGACTGATACACCTCTACCGCTAGTGAATTAGCACACTGTTCTACCTCTCTCTAATCAATAACATCGCTTATTATATTCCGTTCTTCTAGCGTCATTGTAGGAAACTTGACATACTATATATAGTGTGTATATATGAATTTAACATATCGCTCTATCTCAGTTCAAAAAAGAAACAATAACGGATTTTTAAAACATTTAGTTTATTTCTGTTTTGAACGAAGATATTTCAGTCTTGTCTCATAAATAATATCTATGTAGTTTCTCGTTGAGGGTTCCGAACGCACATATTTCCAGTCTAAAATAGCAAATTATCCCTCCTCGTTCCCTTTACCAGTGTTCGTCCATCATAGGCATATTTAGATAATTCTTTTAGTGTGCGATATATTCATTATGTATACTGATCCTACGTTCCGATCACAACATCGGACATAATTTATATTTATAAAATACAAAGTAAGTACACTCGAATACATCATCAAGTTCCAGCTTCTTGATGACATTGGATAATTATCCTTATTTTAATCTGATTATGAATTAATTATGTATATTGAGTTACATTCCGATTACAACATCGGATATTTTTTATGTATACAAAAAATTCAAATACTATTGTGCAAAGTGTTTCAAAATGGTATTGCCAATAGACAAAATAACTAAATTCTGAGGAAAAACATACATTCCTAAATAGCGGTTTTCCACTAAACGGACAAGACAAGAACAAAACACAAACTTGTGTCGAAAAAAACAAAACTGCAACTTTTCGCAAACTTTTTTTAAGACTGGCGTGTTTTGGGACAGTTGGAGTTTTGTTTTTCGAGTCCCGCTCGGAAGTGATAACATCAAAAGGTTTTGACGTGTTTTGAAAGTCAAGTCTGTTTACTGGAGACGGTCATCTGTGCATCAGAGCCAGAAAAAGTTACTTTCCCTATAGAGCCTACATATATGCGGGGCCAGCGTTTCTATTGTCTGTTGCAAAAGCACATGCAGTACCACATCTGATCCCAGTGATTTGTATGGATTGAAGGTGCGTATTGCCCATGTTACTTTCTCTGTTGTAACTACCCGTTTAGCAGTTTCCCACTCTTGGCTGGAGACTCTTTTTTGAGAGTTCCAGTTTGTGTGGGTTTGGTTTGCTACATTCGAGTTTGTTGTGCAATCAGGGAAATGAATTTTAAAAAGTAGTTGTAATGGTTCCATTCCAGTTTTAGTGTACTCCCCGGTTTGGGTTTATTGGATCTTTTGCTAGATTGCGGTGGAGTCTGCATCCTTCAGTTGTATTTTCAATTTCCTGACAGAATGTTCTCCATGAATCCCTCTTAGATTTCCTAAGAGTTTTGTTATACTCTGTGAATGTTTCGGTGTATTCCCCCCACTCATTCGTCTTTTTAGCCTTAATAAAAAGTTTACGTGTTTTCCTTCTGAGTTTGGCGAGTTCGGTGTTCCACCAGCTCACCTTCCTAGAAGTTTTCCTGTTCTTTAACGAGTAGTTATTGTGATATGATGTTATGATTGCGTCCCGTAGTTGTTCTGCAACTTCATCTATATCATTTTTAGTATTAAGAGTTATTTTAACGGTTTTTAACACTGTCCCCAGCTCCACTCCGTATCCAAACCAATCGTTTTTATGTGGGTCTCGGTATACATCTCCTGGATTATCGACGTTGTCGATTTCCATGAGAATATGCCGATGATCTGAGAGCGAAGGCTCTCTAGACACGTACCACTTGCCAATGTGATTTGAAACGAAGGAAGAACCAAGGGTAATATCAATAACCTCGCTCCGTCTACTGGTTACAAAAGTAGGTTCGTTTCCATGATTCAATATTTTCAGGTTAGTGGTTAGAATGAATTCAAGTAAAGACTCACCTCTTTTGTTGTTGTCGTCCTTGCTGCCCCATGTTATATGGTGTGAATTTGCGTCAGCAGCAATGAGTACCTGCAGGTTTTTTGTCCGACAGGTATCTACTAAATCCCTCAGCTCATCTGTTGGTGGAGGGCTGGGCGAGTCATAGGGAAAGTATGCAGAGGTTAAAATGAGTGGCCTCTTGTTGCCTGCTATGTTTATTTCCATCCTGACTGCTACTATGTCTCTAAAACAAAAATCTTGTTAGTTGAGGATGTCTAGACCATTTCGTATGTATATACAAGCCCTAGTGTTTTCACATTGGGTATTGTATATTAACTTACCTTTGGTTTGTCCGAGCCCCATCACATGTCCTTTGTAGATCCAGGATTCTTGTATTAGGGCTACGTCTATGTCCTCCCTGATAATGGTACGTGCAAGGGTTGCGGAGGCGGCCTTGCAGTGTCTCAGATTAGCTTGCACTATTCTGAGCATCTGAAGGATCTTTCTTCCTCTCCCTTTGCACTCTGAAGATTGCCTGAGTTAGGCCCAGATAGGGTTTTATTTGCAGGTTTTCTAAAGCCTTCACAGAGTCGTCGTCAATCAACAGTACAATGGTTTGACCGTTGTCTTCCACTTGCCTGTGAATTACTTGCCACTGTTCCGTTTGGAGCCCTTAGTTTTGGGTTTTGAGGAACGCAAGTACCTTTGTTGTTTCCATGTTCTGCATGGGTTTGGGTATCCAGGCGTTGTGCTCCCTTCCATGGTTGGAGCTGGGGGATTATTTCGGAGAGCCAGGTTTTAGCGGTCTCATTGGCACAGATCAAGAGAGCTCCGTTATGGAAATATCCCTTCTTGAATTGTGGTCCTGATCCCTCCCCACTCTTCAAAATTTCTCCCATTAGTTTTTCCTGAGCCTGATTCGCTTGCTCCTCAGTCAGTTGTTCCTTGGGAAATTCTTTAGGTACTACCGCTATTTTCATGGATGTTAGTGGCTCTTTATAGGACAAGCCACCTTGTGGTTGCCCTTGCTCTGTCAGACCCAATTTTAGGTTCCTTGGGGTGACCTCTTACCGTGGCATCCGTTGAAGACGGACTGTCACTTTGGAGGCGGCCCCGTTTGAGTTGGGGAGTTTGATTTGGAGTTCGGTTGGCTCCTTTCTTCTCCGTCCTTCTCTCAGCGCTGGGTCTGATTGGTTTTCCTTCAACCTTAGCATTTTGAATGGCCAATTTCCTCTTTTGGGCACCTGAGAGTCGCTCATGCGGCTCCAAGTGAGTCCTGTTGAGTTTTGAGGCAACTCGTTTCAGGCTAGTTTCTTCCTTGGGGTTTGTGGAACTGCCACTTGCCTCCGAAGGTTGTTCCGTCTTAGGGCGTTGTCCAGAGGTTGAGACGAAGTTAATTCTTCTGGAATCGCTTCAGTTTCCATTACCTCAGTTGCTTGTGGTGGAAGGTTTTCTCCTTCTGGGAGTTCCCTGTCCGCGGTTGTTTTTATGTTTGTTTCTTATATATTGGTCCCACGAGTAGCTAGGGAAATAGATGTCCAGCCGATCAGAGCCCCGCATGACCGGGTAAGGCCAGATACAAGGGGGTTTCGCCAAGTGCCCCTAGAGGAACGTTCGCAACCGCTTTCCCAGCGGCTATTCAGCATTCAGCACGTTGCCTTACACCTTAGCTTGGGTTATTGATGGAGTGTCATTTAGTTAGTTAATAGTGCTGTTCATAGACCAGCAATATTACCATATCCAGCGGTGCCACGAGGAGGCAGACACTCGATGATTGTATTTCTCCATTGGCATGCAGAAAGAGTTACCTACAAGCAGAAAGCAAGCAATCTAAGCTACAAAGCAATGGCTAAACTACAACCAACCCCGACCTCTTTTAAACTACTTTTATATGTTTTTTCAGTTTGCACTAGCTACACTAGCTGGTGTAGCAAAGTATTAAATTTAAAATTTAATAGACGTAGTCAGGCTCTGACATACATATAGGGTGATTCAAAAAAAGACACCTCATTTTTTCCAAGGACCGCAGTATAAATCAGCCACGGCTTAGAATGAAAAATCTTCTTCTCTAAATATGTTATTTGGTTATTAAAAAAATGTGTTCCGACTTCCTCGCGACAAGTAATGGAAAAGGACTGAAAACAAAAACAAAACTGGAACAAAATGTAGCCCGCCTGATGGAAACAAGAGTTTTGGGTTTGTTTCAGTTGTGTTTTTGTTGTTCAATAACCAGAAAACGCAAACAAAACACAAACTCTATTGTCCGCGTTTAGTTGGAAATAAAAGGGAATCACAAAAACTGTAGTAAAATATATTTTACCCAAATTAGTCTTTAAAATTGATAAAATAATTGACTATTTGATACTTTTTTATCTAAGGGTGCTACAAGTAAAATTCGACCAGTTAAATGAACAATTCATATCAAAGATTTTCCTAACCCCAAAATCCGGCCGGTTCTCAAAGAAATAAGATCCCTCCCAATAACAAACACTAATATTTTTATTTCAACAATAAACCCATGTATACCATTCGATAAGCAAAAAGATCTTTGAAGTAATGATCTAAATATGCTTATGATGGACGAACACTGGCGACGGGGACGAGGAAGGATGTTTTGCGTTTTTTAGACTGGATATGTGTGCATTTGGTACCCTCTAGGAGAGACTACACAAATAGTATTTATTTTGTCGAGGCCTACATATAATTAATAAGATTGAACTACACTTAAGTTCGTTTAATCAATCGTTTAAATATCGATGTTTATTATCATGAGAAGACACTTCTACGTTGTTTGTCTTTTGAAATGGAAATTATTCGATATTTTTAATAATTTTGTAGAAATATTTTTGATTAATTTTAAATTATTTCCTTTTTGAACGATATATTATAAAATATGGAGTATTTTCATGTTTTTTTTTTGTTTAGGTGTTCCATTCATCTTTTAATATAGTTTTCGTACATATTTCAAACATCAACAAAAAAAAAATACATTTTAGACTCTTTATCTTGTTTGAGTAACGTGTTGACAA